GGGATCAGGCAGATGGATGGGGCAGAATGGGAAACACAGATAAGAGACTCATCCTAGTGAAAACTTGGTGCGCAGTAGAGGGGGCATTGTAGGGCAGTGAAAGTTAGACCGTTCTGAAGTGGTCTCAGGACAACTGGCTCTCCATGGGAGGAGGGGTGGGAATAGATGCTTATCCTACAAACAGAGTGTATTCCAGGTGAATTAAAGACTAAATGTGAAAACAGAACTCTAAAACGTTTAGAATAAAATATCATGAATATTTTTGGGGCTTCCCTCAGTTGGTAAAGAATCCACCTGCAGTGCAGGAGACCCTAGTTCGGTTCCTGGGTCAGGAAGATCCCCTGGAGAAGGGATAGGCTACTCACTCCACTATTCTTGGGCTTCCCTTGGGGCTCAGCTGGTAAAGAATCCACCTGCAATGCAAGAGACCTGGGTTTGATCCCTGGGTTGGAAAGATCCCCTGGAGAAGGGAAAGGCTACCCACTCCAGTATTATGGCCTGGAGAATTCCACAAACTATACATGGGTCACAAAGAGGCGGACACAACTGAGCGACTTGGACTATCACGAATATTTTAGACTTTTGGAATAGAGAAGGGTGTATTTTAAAAGACATTTAAAATTGTTATCAGGAATAAACATTGACTTTTTAAAAAATTTTATTGAAATATAGTTGGTTTACAGTGTTGTGTTAACGTCTGCTGAACAGCAGAGTGACTCAGTTACATATTTTCTTGTATGTGTTCTGTATCATCATGGTTTATCGCGGGATATTGACTGCAGTTCCCTGTGTTTACGGTAGGTGCTTGTGGTTTATCCATCCTATGCTATACAGTAGTTTGCATCTGTTAATTCCAAACTTTCAGCACTTCCCTCCCCCACTCCCCTGATAGATTTTTTTTGAAGAGGAAAACTGTCAGGAATAAGGATTAGTAGATTTTCTCCTTCAAAATATAAAAAGACTTGTATAAGAAAAGATACCACAGTTAAAAAAAAAAGACCAGGAAAAGATACTTGCAGCATCAAAGTCAAAGTTAGTACCCAGAATATATAAAGAACTTAAGGAAAAAAATCCAAAAGGAAAATGGACATATGATGTTTATTTATTTAGTTTTCTAAATTTTTACTTTTTAGGCCACACTGCGTGGCATGTGGGATCTTGCTTTCTCAACCAGGGTTGGAACCTGCAGTGGAAGTGCAGAGTCTTAACCACTGGACTGCTGGGGAAGTCCGACATATATGTTTTAAAAAAGCATTTTACAAAAGAAAAACTCAAATGGCTAATAAACCTAGATGAGATGCTCAAACTCATGAAGTATCAGGAAATGCAAACTGAATCAACATCGGCATTGATTCTCCCCCAAACTGGGAAAATTGAAATGTCTAATGACATCAAGGTTCAGTAAGGATGTAAGGAAAGTTTCTTATACTTTGGGAATTCATTTGGCAATTTCTAGTAAAATTAAAAATGTGCACACCCTGTGTCCTAGGATTTTCCATTTAGGTGTATATACCCTTAATCCCCACCCAGATAATACATGAAGTATGTGCAAGGGGGGCTTCCCTGGTGGTCCAGTGGTTGAGAATCCACCTTTCCATGCAAGGGCCACCAGTTGGATCCCTGATCCGGGACAGTCCCACATGCCGCGGAGCAGCTGAGCCTGTGCATCACAGCTACTGAGTCTGCATTCTAGAGCGTGAGAACCGCAGCTGCTGAGCCCACTTGTTGCAGCTGCTGAAGCCTGCATGCCCTGGAACCCATGCTCCGCAGCAAGGGAAGCCCCTGCAGCCAGAAGCTTGTGCACCAACCACAACTAGAGAGCAGCCCCTGCTCGCCACAACTAGAGAAAGCCTGAGTGCAGCAGTGAAGACCCAGCACAGCCGAAGCGTAAAATAAGTGATGAATACATCTTTAAAACAGCAGAAAAAAAAGTACAAGAAAAAAAAAGAAAGTACAAAAGAAAAAAAGTACAAGGAATTCTCGCAACAGTGTTGTCATAGCAAATGGTTGGAAATTACCTGAATGCCCAGGAGTGACTGGGATTTACCTGAATGCCCAGGTGATGCTTTGGGGAAGTAGATGTGCCATGATGTACATGTGATGGAACACAAGCATATAAAGTGAGGAACCAGAGCATGTTCAATGTCAACACAGATAGGGCCTCAGAGAATGCAGTGCTGTCTGAAAAATGCAGGTTGCCAGATGTACACATACATTGTAACACAGTGTATCCAAATTTTAAAAACATCATGATACTGTATTGATGTTTATGGTTATGGATATATCATGAGTTTGGGAATGGATGGTCAAGGGGAATAGGATTTATTCTCTTCCTCTTCCTGCTCCTTGCCCTCTGTTCTGATGGCTCTGAAGCAGCTTCGATGTAGACACGTCGCAACTGTGAGCAGTGGGTAGTTGGATATCTGTTACTCCTTTTACTTTTCTACAGCGAACGGGATTTTGAGCCTCCTGGGGGAAAGGACTCTCTTGTCTCGCAGACCATTATTGCCCTTGGGGAGATTTCTGGCTTCCCTGTGGTGGAAGAAGAGGTTTCCTTATTCCTGGACAGTAAGGACTGGCCGTTGGGAGACTTTTTTTTTTTGAGAGTGAGTCTTTTATCACTTCTTGGGCCTTAGTCACTAGTGGCATTTTGTAAATACTGGTTTATTTACATTTGAATTAAATCAAAATTGAATGAGTGATTAGTGTGTTTGACCTTCTTGGTTCCTATTAATCTGAAATTTTGTGTCTTCTATTTGTATAGTGAAATACAGTTTACAGAGTGCTTTCCTTATATATCTTATTTGATATGGTAACATGATCACTTAAAAGGGACTGTTGGAAATTAGGTTAGATGAGGGTCCTGCAATTAATATATTGCTGGAAAATAATAATTGTTGAAAATAACTATTTTTTAGTAATTATAAATTAGTCCATGGTCTTTGTTAGGAATTTAGAAAATACAGATTCCTAACAAAGACCATGTACTAATTTATTTCTCATGTTAGCAAGGTAATGCTCAAAATACTTCAAGCTAGGCTTCAACAGTTCATGAACCGAGAAATTCCAGATGTATAGGCTGGATTTAGAAAAGGCAGAGGAACCAGAGATCGGATTGCCAGTGTTCTTTGGATCATAGAGAAAGCAAGGGAATTCCAAAAAAAATCTGCTCCATTGACTACACTAAAGCCTTTGTGTGGATCACAGTAAACTGGAAAACTCTCTTACAGAGATAGGAACACTAAACCACCTTACCTGTGTCCTGAGAAACCTGTAGGCAGGACAAGAAGCAACAGAACCTTACATGAACAACTAACTGGTTCAAAATTTGGAAAGGAGTACGTCAAGGCTGTATATTGTCACTCTGCTTATTTAACCTCTATACAAAGTATATCATGAGAAATGCTGGACTGGATGCCTTTCAAGCTGGAATCAAGATTGCTGGGAGAAATATCTACAACCTCAGATATGCAGATGATACCAGTCTAATGGCAGAAAGCAAAGAGGAACTAAAGGGCCTCTTGATGAAGGTGAAAGAGGAGAGTGAAAAAGCTGGCTTAAAATTCAACATTCAATAAACTAAGATTATGGCTTCTGGTCACATCACTTCATGGCAAGCAGATGGGGAAAAGTGGAAACAGTAACAGATTTTATTTTCTTGGCCTCCAAAATCACTGTGGATGGTGACTGCTGCCATGAAATTAAAAGACATTTGCTCCTTGGAAGAAAAACTATGACAAACCTAGACAGTATATTAAAAAGCAGAGACATCGCTTTGCCAACAAAGGCCCGTACAGTCAAAGCTGTGATTTTTCCTGTAGTTGTATATGGATGTGAGAGTTAGACCATGAGGAAGGCAGAGCACCAAAGAACTGATGCTTTTGAATTGTGGTCCCTTGGACAGCAAGGAGATCAAACCAGTCAAGCCTAAAGAAAATCAGTCCTGAATATTCGTTGGAAGGCCTGATGCTGAAGCTGCAGTACTTTGGCAACTTGATGCAAAGAGCCAACTCCTTTGAAAAGACCCTGATGCTGGGAAAGATTGAAGGCAGGAGGAGAAGGGGATGATGGAAGATGAGATGGCTGGATGGCATCATTGACTCAATGGGCATGAGTTTGAGGCAACTCTGGTAGATGGTGAAGGACAGGGAAGCCTGGTGTGCTGCAGTCCGTGGGGTTGCAAAGAGTCGGACAGGACTGAGCGACTGAACAACAAAGTGAAAGAAGCAATGAATGGAATTTTAAAATACAAACGGAAAACAAACACTGGCAAAAATAACGATGTGGATTTGGGGAAGAACCAAATCCAAGTTTTAGAAAAATACTTAGCCTAGTGCCTTGTATTTAGGATCTATGTGATAACTGTGAACATTTGGGCAGACAATTCCCAATGTGAAATTCATGACTTTACACAATGTGAAGTGCCTCTGTGGAACCTCAGCTTTGGGAGTATTCACTGATCCCATTGTTCTGTTGACCTTAACAGTTTGTGGACTGAGCTGAGATTGGAGTCACAGCTCTTGAGACAGTTTCAAGTACTGGGCAGGTGTCCCTTGTCCTTCGGGGGGAGGAGCCAGGTGTATTCCTGGAGCAGCTTTGGCCACTTCTCCCTCCCCACCCCCCTCCCTGTTGTGAGTGCCTGCTGGATGCCAGGCCTTGTACTTGAAGGATAGGAGGATGACCAAAACATTGTTCCTCCTTTCCTGGGATTCACATTCCAGCAGGCCATCGAGTCTGCCCGGGACCCTTTCAAATGCACTGGACTGAATCGAATCTATTGTGTGTTTCGCTCTGCAAAATTGTTGCTATCGTATGAATTTCTGATGAGTCTTCTTCAGCTTTTGGAGCAAGATCAGGTCCCACAGTGGTCAACATTACTGAATATATGGAGACATTGGTTAGCTGACGGGGAACTAGATATCGCAGTTTTCCAAGCAAATGAATAGGTTTACTAATCAACTTCTCCAGATTACTAATTCTTCTACTGCACATCTTTTCAGGATGACGTGAGGCATAAGGTTCATCTGAACACCTTTGGATTCTTCAAGAATGGGTACATGAAGGTGAATGTCAGTAGCCTTTCAGTGAATGAACCTAAAGGAGCCACAGACAAGGACTCAACTGTAAGTGCCTTTCCAGGAGCAAGGGTAAACCCTTTTCTGTTGCTTAGGTAATAGTGTCCCCCATTGTAAAATATGAAATATTAGAATATGGAAAAAATTAAACCCGTGAGCAGGCATCAGTTTTATTTTTTAACACTGAAGTTGCAATTCTTGAATAATTTCACTTACAACTGATCCTTCTTACAAAATACATGCTAAAAAAACCGAGAGGAAGGCCAGGCCAAAATAATCACTTTTTCTGCTCTTGTGCTAAGAAAGGTATGGATGTCGGGGCATCAGTGGTAATTCACTTCTACTGTTTTCACCTCCTCTTAGATTGGATTCAGCTTAGACCGAACAAAGAATGATGGATTTTCTTCTTATCTGGTGAGCATCAAGTGTGTGACCTGAGTGCTCCCTACACTTGAGCCCAAGGCCCTGGGTGGGAACAGCCTGCTGCTGTCAGTGCTGTTTCGTGGGGTGGCAGCTTCGACTTCCAAGTGTCTCTGAGCACCCACAGTTGTGTTTTTTGAATGGGGGCTGGGCCACTTGCTTTGTTCATGAAAACTTTTTGTTCTTGTTCTAGTGTGACTGAATAACATGATGTATAATTGGGTCTTCCTTTCTCAGGATGAAGATGTGAATTACTGTATTTTAAAGAAACAGTCTGCCTCTGTCACCCTTTTAATCCTAAACATCTCCAGAAGTGAGTAAGTAATGCTAATGATCCTTCAGTTCAACCCTCGAGTAAAGTTGGGGGGAGTTTGGTAGTTAAGCTAAGACGTATTGTCTTCCACACGCCAAATACTTTGCCGAGTGCTGGAGATTACAAACAAGACGACGAAGGTGGAGGTGCAGTTCTGGAGGAGCGTCTAGATGAGTGAGGGGGACAGAACAGCAATGCCAGTGACGGCAGCGCACTGGAGGGGCAGTAGGGCAGAGGGGCGGTGCTCGGGGCCAGGAAGGGAAGGCTGCAGAGAAGGGTTGGCGCAGCCAGCTTTCTCGTGAGGAGACTTTGCAGAGGACTAAGAAAGGGACGAGCATTCGGGGCAAAGAGAACATGTTACACCAAGGCAGAGTAGCACGCACTAGCATGGCACGTGTTCAATGAAGTGAGTGCATTGTTTGCAGCCAGCTAAGGGGAAGACAGGGAGGTTTCTGCCTGTCCTGTGCTGGACATGCTCCCCTTGATACGTGCACTAGTGCCAGCTGAGGGCACGTGTCCACTCCGACATCAAAACTTGCAGGCCCCTCCTTAGGCGGGATGGGGTCAGTGGTCAAAATTGGGGTCTGGTCAGCAGGGAGAAGGGAGGAAATGCATCTTAGATGGGCTGCTAATCGTTTTGACTGCCCCTCACCTGCTCCTTGATGCCTCACTTTAACACTTTACTGGGTTTTTTTACCTCTTATTCCTTTTCCCTTGTGCATGAAATGCAGGAAAGATGGGGAAAGAATAGTCATTTCTCCTAATTCTCCATGTTAGAATAATCAATAATTTATATTTCCTTCTAAACTTATTTCCTAAGTCTAGAACATTTGATTTTAAAAATCCAGAGTCATTTTATAATTTTATAAGCATCCGTGTTCATTCAACTTCATCATCATCAGTTTATTAAACACATTACACATACTTAGGGAGGAAATATGTACCTCAGAATCAAATGGTTGCTACAGACTCAAACTTTAGAGTGAGGCTGCCCCAGCTGCTGACTAGCTTACTACTCTTGGGCAAATTCTTTAACCTTTTGCTTCCATTTCAGCATCTGTAAGATGCAGATAATAGAATCTGCATCATAGTTCATCATGGGACTGCATGAGATGATGGGCTTAGGCCTGGAAACAACACCTACCGGCCGTAAGCATTACTTTAAACTCTTTTTCTTCTGTCTTACTTGAATATAGAGTGAAAATAAGATCTCCACCAGAAGCTGGTACCCAGTTACCGAAGATCATCTTTACCAAGGATGAGAAGGTTGTTGGTCAGAGCGAGGAGCCTGGTGTTGACCCTGTCTCAGCAGGCAGCCAGGCTCCAAAAGAACAAGGTAACTGTAAGGTAGACACTAGCCTTTCCTTCACTACCTTGCTTCATAGATCCATTTTTCTTCCTACTTAAAAACAAACATGATTTTATTTAGCATTATATTATTTTTGAGGTGATATAAAAATGCATAACAAAGAAAAATGCAGGAAAGATGGGGAAAGAATAGTCATTTCTCCTTATTCTCCATGTTAGAATAATCTGTAATTTCTATTTCCTTCTAACCTTGTTTCCTAAGTCTAGAACATTTGATTTTAAAAATTCATAGTCGTCTTATAATTTTATAAGCATCCCTGTTCACTCAGCTTTAAAATTTTTTTATGCTTATCAGATGCCCCGTTAAATGGATACTGTAATTTGCTTGGCATTTTCTCTTAAAGAGACATAGTTCCATTTCGATGCTATTATAAAGCATTGCTGCATCAGACATTTTTATTTCATAGTGTAGAACTTTTTTTTTAGGCTGAGTTCTAGGAACTGGAATTTTTGGTTCAAAGGATATGAATACTTTTGGGAACATTGATACATATTTTCATTCCTTTCCACATGAGTTGTGTGAATTTATATTCCTGTTGGGAAATATATAATGATAGCACCCACATCACCAGGTCCTAGCCAGCTGGGGGTTTTTGGTTGTGTTTTGTTTTTTAAATCCTAAAGTGAAAGGCAAAGTGGTGTCCTTGGTTTTGACGTCACTCTTATTACTGAGATTGCACTTTTTCTCCCTGTGTTGATTTACTAGTTTAGATTTATCACCTCTTTTATTGACCATCAGGTTTATCTAATAATTTATATGAATTCCTTTAAAGATAACTTTACTAGTTACAGTATTATTTTCTGTTTGTCAAAGTTCTGATACACACTAAAAGACGTGCAGAAATGTTCCATGTGCGTGATGGTGTAGTTTCATGTACGTGCACCATCTTCTCCTTGTCTGTGTTCCTTGGGCTCACATGACCATTCCCTAGGCAGAAAATTTTCTTCCTTCTTTTTATTCTGAAACTCTCTCCCTTCCTACATAGTTTGAGAGCCTCTTCCTCAGAAAGAATGACTTAAGTAAAAATATGACACAGAGGCCCTCTCTTTTATTGAAAGAAGTCATTAGCAGTCTTTTTTTTTTCTTCCGTTAGCATTCTTTACACTCCTTGCCGTGAGGAAAAAAGTATGCTTTATGCTAATAATATTTGCTGTTTTTCTACATATGTAAATAAATCTCATACATATATATTTTAAACAGTGATCTGGTTTCAGGTGTCATTACTTAGAAAAAAAGTCATTCCATGTGGCATCTTTGGCAGTAACATACACTAGGTTATTTAGAGACGATTTCCTTTGTTGATGCTGAGTATTGCCACTTATTAAATTGTGTTCATAATAGAACAAGTCCAATTTGCGGCTTCTACAGCTCAAGAATGTTTGGGATTCTGAGGAGTTACAAGTTCATAAGATGGCTTGTGGCCTCACCATTTTGTTTGTTTGAATTATTTGATATTAGATGAGCTAGAGTCTCATTAAGTGATACCGTAATATACATATGAGCTGAATCATGCAATAATATCTTTTAAATGATTCTTCTTTTAGAAAATGGAAAGTCTAAAAGAAGTACCGTGGATTCAAAGGTGAGAACTAACCCCAGCCTGTGCTCTCAGCTTTTCCAGGTGTGTGTGTGCTCACACGCATGCAGGACTGTCCTTATGTGTGTGTGTACACACACACACAGGTGCACACATGCACATCTGCATGCTCAGTCTACAGGCGGTTGCCTTCTGTTTGGGGAGAGATCTTGGACACTGAAATAATTTCAGAGTAAGACTGAGTGCTGAGTTATACAGCTCTTATGTGATAGAAGCTCAGATAGTGAGGGGAAAGGGAAGTGGGGTATCTGAGAGTCGTCTGGAGGGAGATGTCACCAGGGCTTGAAGCTTGGTGGATTGTTTGGGGAAGAAGATGAGAAGAAATGGGCTGAAGACCATCATGAGCAAAGAGTGGAAGTAGAAATGACCATTCACAAGTGCTGGGCACTGGCCTGTTGGAAGTAAAACATAACCTATATTTGGGACCAGAGAGAGGGACCTTAGATTGTAGAGGGCCAGCAAATAGAAGGTATCAATGCACAGAAAACACTGAAGGCATTGTGTGTGCTTGGTTAGGATGGAATTGATACAGAATGTGTTAAGGGAAAGTCGTTGTTCAGGAGGATTGTGCAGGGCAGTGGTGGAGAGGGGGTCAGGGACCTGAGCGCGACCGGGAGGAATGCTGTCATAATCGTGCAGGTTTAAGGTGTTGAGCATCTGAGCCAGAGCAGAGCTTCAGAGTGTGGAGTAAGTGAGCAGCAGTCTTGGAGGCCAGGGTGGTGGGGAGAAGGGGAGAAGAGGAAGGTTGCTTTTTTTACCCCCAGAGAGGTGGGGAATAGAAATAACAGAAGGACAAGTGGGAAAGTTTTAGTTTGGGATATCTTGATATTTCAGTGATGGAGCATCCAGATGGCAGGGTTTTATTTTGTTTTATTGAAGTAAAACTGATGCACTACAACTGTGTATATTTAAAGTGGCAGTTCCGTAAGTTTTGACTCAACATGTGCACCTGTGAAACCACCACCACAACACATCTGTCACCATAAAGATTTTTCCTGCCGCTTTGTCACCCTCCTGTCCCTAGGTGGCCACTCATCTGTCACTATAGAGTCGCTCTTATTCAGTGTAATCATTTTAGGTTCATCTGCATTGTTCCATGTCTCAGTAGTTCCTTCTTTTTGTTACTTAGCTTTAGCCCATTGTGCCAGTTGCAGTACGTCAGTCATTTGACATTGGGCATGGAGGCCAGGTGCTTGAGGTGTGGCCTGGGTTGGCATTCGTTGTCTCACTACAGCTGTAAGATTAGCGAGCTGCTCAGCGGGGAGCAGGGGGCTGTTGGAGCGACAGAAGAGATAACTGAGAAAAGGACCTGGGTAAAGGATTACCTTTTTTTGTGAAACAGGATTTCATTCATATTGAAAAGATGGTGAATTTCTTTTTCAGTGAGCTTTTGAAGACCAGCGAATTTAGGATTTTAGAAGAACATGTTTTAGAGCTTTTAAATTTTTATTTTTACTAGCTTGCTTTTTCTGGTGGTCTCATCTAAAATAGGTTGTTAATGTCTTTTTTAGGCAACAGGAGAGAAATCCTTTTCTGTTCGTAATAATGATGGGGCAGTTTCATTCCAGGTACGTAATCTCTTTGAGTCAAGCTTTGTAGAATTTATCTCTGCCATGTAAAAGGGTGAATTTTTAAAGAAACTGAATTTAGGAATAATAATTTGTATATGCTGTGTGCCAGTCATTTGACTCTAGTAACTCTCTCCGTAACAAACCTGCAAGGTGGATCTTGTTATCCACCGCTTATCAAATCATGTATCTCTGAGAGAGAATAACTTTGTGTATGTCCAGTGTGAGCATCAAGGCCCGGTTTCCAACCCAGTTCTCCCTGGCTGTCCCCACAACTCTGCCTCTCTCATTGTATACTGCCTCTCATTCAGAGTGTGTCAGAAACCCAGAATTCTACACCTGGAAGGACGATTGTCATCTTCGGGTGATGTTGTCATTTCAGAGATGAGTTCATTGAGACTCAGAGGCCTGAGTGACCTGCTCAGCTGTCACTGTCGTTAACTGCGCATGAGTGTTCACGGCTGCACCACAGCCTGTGTGTGGGGTGTGGGGTGGGGCATTGAATTGGCTCTCAGAGCCCACATGCTAGGTGGTGACTTTGGACAACTCACTTAACCTCTGAACCGCACTCTTTAATCATCTGAAAATGAAAAATGATGACACCCATCTCACAGGGTGGTTAGGTGTATCATTTTTAAAAAATAAAAGTGCTTTGTAAAGCACTGTACAAATAGTCTCTTATCATTAACTTGTAAGAATCACTCCTCCTTTTTCTAAGCAGTTTTTATTAACTGAGCTATCATTCACTTCAGGTGAAATGCACGGCTCCTGAGTGTGTGGTTCTGTCAATTCTGACAGCGGCCTGCACCCCTGTAGCCCGTGCTCAAGATTCTCTGTATTTGTACCACCTCTGAAAGGCCCCTGCGTCTGCATTTCTGAGTTCTCTCACCATAGATTCTTTTGCTGATCTAACAGTGTTGATGTTATCTAACTTTAGTAGCCATCGGTATTAACCGCTGACTGAGAGTCTGTGGGGTGCTCATCTGCCCTGAACCCCCGGCAGCTTCCCCTCTGTCTCGCAGTAGAAGCCCAAGTCCTCCTGCGGGTCTCCAAGCCCACGTGCTCTGGCTGCTCTCGACTCTGACCTCAGTTCCGGTTTCCTCCCCACTGTCTGTGTGTTGCTGTGCTCCAGCCACACAGGCCACCGTGCTGCTCCTAGAGAAGATAAAGCCTTGGCTTCTGCTCTGGCTGTACCCACTGGAGAAAAGCGTGTCCTCAGAGTCTGCGTGATTAATTTCTTCCTCCTTCAAGTCTTGGCTCGAATGTCACCTTTTCACCAATGCTTCCTCCAGTCGCACTGTTTTAAATGCAGCCCCCCCACCCCAACTCTGCCTTTTCCCTTAATACTTCTTTCCAACGTACAGCATACTGTTTATTTGTTATATTTATTGTCTCTGTCTCCCTTTAGAAGGTAACTATAAGGGCAGGGATTTCTGTCTGCTTTATTGCTGCTCTGTGTGAAATTCCTCATCTTGGGCCTGGCCCTAGTAGTCTTCCTGTCAGTAATTACGGAGATGAATGAATGTATGAATGAATGTCAGATATCCTGCCAAGTACTTACACCTTACCATTGTCTCAGTTCATCCTCCCAGCAAGCTATGAAAGTAGGTACTGGTATTAGTCCCCTTTTACAAATGTCTCTTTTTTTCCCTTCTTTAAAATTTTGAGGTACGGCACCTATAGAAGAGTGTATAGTACTTTGAGCACAGGTGATTGTCAGTAATCACCGTCGTAGCCCTCACCTGGTGCAGGAACTAGAGCAGTGCTCACCGCGCCTGTGTCCCTCAGGTCTTCTCAACTCCAGAGTAACTCCTGTCGTGAAAGATGTTACCATAACCATTTCCTTGCTTTTCTTCATCGTTCACCGCTTGTATATGTAGTCCTAAGCAGTATATTAATATTTCAGACTTACAGTAAAATGTTCCCTAGAATTGATCAAGGAGTCACATTCTGTGATTATATGTATGTGTGTATATATATAAATAACATTTTTTATTTACATTAAGCTTCATTTGAATACATGAAATATGTTGAAAAACAAAGAAAAATCTCTTAAAGTAGTAGATGTAGCCTCTGTTACTGTTGTCTAAAATCGTACAGGTACATTGTGATGAGGAAATACTGGTCCTTTGCTCTTTCAAGTACCAGAAGATCCTCCTTTCTTTTTTCAAAGTATTTTTTACCTAAAGGGCAAAACAGTAATATGTGGGCTTGAAAGCTAGATAACCGCGTCTTAAGTTAGCTCTGCAGACTTCGGCAGACACCCATCACTGATGGATAGATACGTGATAAAGGAAGTGTAGTGAAGTGTTAACTGCGGAGTCTAGGTAATGGGTACACATGTATTCACTGTATAAAACAGTCTGCTTTCCTGTTAGCTTGAAAATCGTTAAAAGTATTAGGAGGGTATCACAGAATAAGAAAATGTGTATTGGAACTCTGCTGTAGGAGAGTTTGATTAACTTCAGTAAACAGTCTGTTTTCTTCTGTTTGCAGTATTCATGATTTCTTTCTGAGATTTGAAAATCTAGCTGAGGATCTGGATGTCCTTAAACTTCTTTCTTCTTCTTTTCAGTTTTTCTTCAACATCAGCACTGATGACCAAGAAGGCCTCTACAGTCTTTATTTTCATAAGTGTCTCAGAAGTGACGTTTGGTCTAATGACAAGTTTTCATTCAGCCTCGATGTGAGTACCATATGAAAGCTGCTCCAGCTAGATGTTGTCAGCTGTGTAAAATGCAAGGTGGTTTTTTTCTTTCTAGGAGCAGTTTTAAGAACATTTAAGCAGAGTTAGAGAAAAAACATGGCCAGAATAACATTTCTGCCAGTGGGCAACATACTTCAGCAGAGGATTCTTTAAAAGGAAATATAAAGGATTTACATTAGGATGTGTTTACACTTCAGCCTGTGCATTAAGAATGTGGTTGTTCGGACTTCCTCAGTGGTCCAGTGGTTAAGACTGCACTAACAAGGCAGGGGATGCAGGTTTGATCCCTGGTTCAGGGAACTAAGATCCCACATGCCTCAGGGTGCAGCCAAAAAAAAAAAAAATGTGTCACAGTGTCTGTAAGTCATCTATAACTCTGTTTCTGAAAAGAATATTGTTGTTACCTTCTGGTACTCACTCTCGTGAGCTTCTGTGAAATAGCAGAGATTCCAAATTACTGAATATGGAATGATCTATTCCTGAAAAGTGAAAACAGCCTCATGTTGGTTTCAGATCGAGATCACAGAGAAGAATCCTGACAGCTACCTCTCAGCGGGAGAAATTCCTCTCCCCAAATTGTACATTTCCATGGCCTTCTTCTTCTTTCTCTCTGGGACCATCTGGATTCACATCCTTCGAAAACGACGGTAAATTATCACCTCCTCGAGCCCTTCAGCCCCCAGGGTTTGGGGATGTGTTTGTTTAATTTCACCTGTTGCTGTCTTCCGAACCAAGAGGCCTTGTCACTAGCAGTCCCGTTCTCTTCAAAGGGCATCTTCCCCGAAACAAGGAGGACTCTGCAGAAGCCTTGATGAGGAAATACTGGTCCTTTACTTTTTCAAGTGTGGGAGGCCTTTGCATGCCATGATGTTTATTTACTTCCTATTGCTTGGTTTAAAAAGCAAATCCAAATATTTCAGTAATATACAATCGAAGTAAAATGTATAAGCAAAGTGTTTCCATAGCAAGGTCTGGAGAAGGAAATGGCAACCCACTGCAGTGCTTTTACCTGGAAAATCCCATGGATGGAGAAGCGTGGTAGGCTACAGTCCATGGGGTCACAAAGAGTCAGACATGACTGAGCGACTTCCCTTTCCATAGCAAGGACACCCCAGCTCAGAGCTCTGAGTGAATGCATTGGTCCCATTCGGGGGCTGTTTGTTCTTAAGACAAGAGGAGTGACTGACCCAGGGCCTGGTGGGAGCATGGAGCTGCTGTGGAGCTCTAAAGGCCCAGCCGGGGTAGACTCTGCCCTCCAGAGGCTTGAGAAAACCTCTTCAAAGTCCACCTGCCTGACTGATGGCCTTTCTCCTGAAACCCCCGAGGCTTTAACTTCCTCTTCTTGGTATTTGAGGGGAGCAGCAGCATGTGAGTGGAACTAGTGATTAATTCTGTGTCCCTCCCACAAAGTGGAAACGAAATGCTAGTTTTCAGTTAAAGAATAGTGTGAAATGTTTGTTATAAAGCCCATAAACTGTGTAAAGGATGGTATGGAAATATGGTATTATAATAAAGATTTAAATTCACACAATAAATGAGCACCACAAATGCCAGATGCCTTTTTCTCTGGAGCGGTGGGCCAGAAATGGAGACCTCTCTAAGCTCACGTGGCCTGCCTGTCTTCTGGTGGACATGGCTCGGTTTGGGTACTGGGCTCTGTTGGGTGCGGTTTGCTGTTTCCTGTTTGTTGTAAATCTTTTACACCCACTGGATGCAAAGAACATCTTGTTTGCTTGTGAAGGACTCTACATAATCATGTTTGGACTGGAGATCGGGAAACCATTAATAAGAAAAAAATCCTGCATATTCAGGCTATAAAAGATGGTGGAGGGTGGTGTGTGTGTGTTTTTAAGAAGGTTTTGCTTTTACTTGAAGTAGACAAGTAAGATCTAGGGGTTGGAAACCTGGTTTTCAAATGTAAATGCTGACTGTTGTTGCTACTGACTACAGTGTGCCTGGCTTCACTCTATAAATCTCTTTTTCCTCAGCTGCAGAACTGGAACAGTCATAATCTGTCATGATCTGCCTTCCTCTCAAAGTCTTAGATCTTCAGATTTCTTGTGTGATTTCCCCTGAAATGATGTGTACAAGAGGGCTTTGCAAATCAGAGTGCTATGCACAGATGAGGCACATGCAAAATAGTTTAGCCAGATGTTCAGTGGTATTTTAATTTCCCTTTATTTAGTGAGGCAACAGTCACTGTCACTGGTTCACTTTATATAAAACTGTGACGACAGTTTAAAATCTGTGGTTAAACGAGGCTGACCTGCTTCAGACAGCATATCTTAAACTTCTTGTTGAAGTGTAGTGTAGATACAGAAACGTGTATTCTGGCCCTCTGCCCCCACCCCCCACCCCCACCCCCACCCCCACCCCCGTGTTTTTCCAGGAATCTTGAGCCACGTGGGGTTAGTGATTCGAGTCACGTCAGGGAAGTGACTCCAAGGCTGCCTTTCAGAGTCTCACATCCCTTAGAGCTGGAGGGAACTGGGAGACTTGGGCCTTGTCTTGTTGAGGCCGCAGGAGGGGAGGTGAGAGCCACGGTTGGCGTCCCGGGTGCAGCTGGCCTGGGCCCATGCTGGTTTGCTGTGCTGTCGTGGCCCCGGAGCACGGGGAGCGGGGGAGCGAACACGGACAGCTGGTCTGCTTGGAGCTGCTCTCCGCCCAGCCAGGTGTTGGGTATGGTGGTGCCACTTTCAACAGAGGTTTCTGAGGCCTCATGAGAGGAGGGCGGTCAGGGTAGAGCCCGTGTGTGAGCCCGGTCGCTGCCGCTCCAGAGCTCGAACTCTTGCCTGCCTTCACCTGCCATCGGCTCTGTCCCCAGGCTGCGGGTCGACGGGGCTAGGCCGTGGGGGTGAGCCCAGCCCTTGCTGGCTCTGCAGCCTGGGTGAGTCTCGTGGCTATTGAGGACAGACAGACTCCTCTGGCCTTGATTTCCCTTTTGACCTTCAAGTAGGTAGGCCCTGGAGCAGGAAAGACCCAGGGAGGAAGCCAGCCCGGAAACCGGTGTGCGTCACTCACGACCCACCCTCCTTATCGTTCTGTGCAAGGCCCTCTCTTGTTCCACTTCCTGTCTCCTCTCTCATTCCTTCCCACCCACGGTCAGCTGCCCAAATGTGTTTCGTTTGTGTTTTGGGGTTATTTGTATATCTTGATGAACAAATCATGTTTATTGGTATTGAGCGTATTTTAAATTTACATGAACTGTCCTGTCTGTGGGTATTGTTTTTGTACATTTTTCACTCGGTGGCCTCCTCTTTAAGATGTAGACGCATCGCTGTTTGTGCGCCCAGTTCATGGCTGTTCAACTCCTCCATGTCATCCAGTGGGCGCCCCACTTTGCTCACCCGCCCCTTGGTGGTGGGCCCTTAGCTTGTCCTCATCTCCCTGCTCCCGCACACTGTCACCCGCCCTCCTGCCTGTCCCCAGATGGCTCGGGCAGCCTCTGAGGTTCATTCCGGAAGGAGGCGCCCTGGGTGTGGAGCGAGCGCTCCTTTAGTTTCGCTGAGCGCTGCCAGGCCGCTTCCTGGAGTGCCTGGGCCCGCACAGGCGCCAGCACTGATGCCTGAACCGGTGCCTCGTTTTCTCTGGCGGGGCTCTGATTATTGGTGATAAGAAGTACCTTTGCAGAGACATGTTAGCCTTTTGGGCTTCCCCGTGTGACTGCCTGTATTTGCATTATTCTTCTGTCGGGTTTTCTGTCTGTCCCTGGTGGCTGTGCTTGAGTTCCTTGGACATTTGAATCTTAGTCTCTCGTACGTCTTAAGACATTGCAGATTTCTTTTCCCAGTTGAACTGTTGAGGAAAAATCTTTCACATTAATGGAGTCGAGGCCATGTAATTGTAGTCTTCGGGGTCGTGCCTCGTGGATCCTGAGAGGCCCATTCCTACTCCAGATCACAAAATGTGTATTTTCTGTTTAGCAGGCAAATCCCCCTGGGGTATAGGCAAGTGTGAAGCTGAGGTCAGCTTTCCTCATTTATTATATAGGTTTGAGCTGAGTTTTTTTTCCCCCCAGTGCCAGTTATTAAGCACCCACTGACTTGGTGTCACCTTAAATAGTAAGCTTCCATACATGCACAAATCCATCTCTAAACTTTCTGGTCTGTTCTGTTGGTTTACTTCTCTGATGCTCCCTGTTCCCCATTTTTTAACTGCTGTATCTTTGCAGATTGTCTTGATACCAGAGAGTGGGAATTTTCCGTCGCTCTTACTCAAGTCTTTGCTTTTTTTCATAGGGTTTAAAACTTTCTCCGTCATGGTTTTGTGTGTCTCACAGGTTAACTCCTAGGGCGAGGCGGGAAGGGGTAGAGGAATTGAATGCCTGGCAGCCTGAGGGTGGACTAGTGCCCGTGGAGGAGGTGGGGGGGAGTGGGTGCTGTGTTTCACTGGCGTGGTGTGTTTGGCATGTTCCAGCCTTGAGGGGACAGAGACACTGTCTATGACCATCCCTGCTACCTAGCACCATCCCCACCTCTCCTCTGGGCTAGCGATTTCCCCTAGAGCTGTGCCCAGTCACCTCTGCCTTCTTGGGGATTTTGTGCCATTTTCATAGATCCATCTGCCTCTTTCTTGCCTCTGTGGGCTTTCCAGGGTGGTTTCCGTAGAGGAAACGAGCAGCCTGTTTAGATTTCCATCTTATCAGGCCTGGGAACCCATTGTGCGTAACTTGGCTCCATTCACAGAGTAGTGGTAGAGACAACTTGGGGCTCCATTCTACGGCCTCTCTGCTGGCAGCAACCACTTTTTAAAAAGCTCTGTGTTTGTGGTTTGCTTAGATCATACTTATGGCTTCCTTATAAATATATGATGGGTGGAGCTTCGGCTGTCCTTTGGGAGTGTGAAATTGTCCTTAAATTCTTTTCTCTCTGTTTTATAGGAATGATGTATTTAAAATTCACTGGCTGATGGCTGCCCTTCCTTTCACGAAGTCTCTTTCCTTGGTGTTCCACGCAGTACGTATTTGTGTTTTGGGGTCATTTATGAAGTGCCTGTACTATCAGGGAAAATAAGTTGGAAGACAGGCTACATCAAACAAAAGATAAAAGAATACCTTTGCCATGAAGCCTGTTTTGGTCCGGAAGGGCTGGTCATGGGATAAATCATCATAGCCTCCATAGTGCTAGACTTAAGACATCTTTAGATATTACCTACAGACTCAGAGTTTTCTCTTGTAGGTGTTTTATTTTTTCACCCTCCTAGTCATTTCTTGAGATTAGAGGGCCACCTGATGAATTGTTGCAACAGCTTCCTTTATTTTTTGAAATATTCCCCCACATTCCCATTTGATTTGAAATTCACTGTTAGCATACTTGTTTGAGAGGAAACTGATGCTCTAAAGATTGAGGCATAAAAATTGAGTCAAGCTCTGAATATTTAGTGCCGATGCAGACTGAAATGAGCTAGGCTGTGGGAGACAATCACAGCTTCCCCACTTTGTAGGCCTGCGAGATATCCATGGGCCCCATCTGTGAGGCTGACAGTCTCCAGACTCTCTCAGGAGCCTACTGCCCTTAAAAATGTTGTCTTAGAAAAAGTAATAATGTATCCAGTTGTAGTTTCAAGAAATGACGATTATTTGGCTAGTTTCCCATTTGGATTAAGGTAAAAAGATTCCTTCTGGAATCATGCAGATAATGAGTCATAGGATTCTTGGGTCACTTTCATATCCAGACAGCCACGTGCAGAGGAATGAAAGATGCATGAAGGAACTGATGTCAGCTTTGGGCATCCTGCCTGTAAACATTTGGGGCACTACTGAAGCTGGCCACTTTAGTAAAAATTCATCGGTAGCTTCAGGTAGCTCTAAATTTACAGGTTTAGAGTTGAAGCTTGGTGATTCCACATAGGTTTTTTAACTGAGTATTAACTGAGTATTATGTAAGCAGCAAGGCTATGAGAGAGAAAGCTGTTGCCTGGAATTGAAAAGACCTGTGACATTTGGAGGATTCTTTTTTTTTGTTTGTTTGTTTGTTTTACATCTTTACTTTTATATATTAATTCACTAATTAGCCATTTAGTACCACTTGCGGAATCTCAGTTCCCCTGGCCAAGGATTGAACCTGGGACCCAGCAGTGAAAACCTGGAATCCTAACCACCAAGGAACTCTCTTAAAGATTTCTTTCAAGAAGAGAATAGGCAGCCATTTGCCAGAATGAATCATCTGCCTCAAGAGAGGGACCTTGGGACTTCCTTGCTGGTACAGAGGTTAAGACTCTATGCTTCAAATGCACGTTTGATCCCTGGTCAGGGACTAAGATCCCACATGCTAAGCAGTGGGGCCAAAAAAGAAAAGAGAGGGATCCGGACTAGGTGTTAGTGATGTGGAACCCTTTTGTCTAGTTTCTCAAGCTCCTTGCCGTCCTCAGGGCGCTCAACACGCTTCACTGTGCATCCGCAAGTGCAGTGTTAGGGAGTGGGGCGAGGGTCCCCATCACAAGGGCCTGGTGGCATTTCCTGTCTAGCTGTGTGTAAGGCGTTGGTAGATGACCTTTCTGAAATGCACTTGTTTTCTTGCAGATCGACTACCACTACATCTCCTCCCAGGGCTTCCCGATCGAAGGGTGGGCTGTGGTGTACTACATCACTCACCTGTGAGTACTGAGAGTGCCTCGGGAAGTACCTGTCCTGTGACGGAGTGGCTGGGCAAGGTGGGGGAGCTGAGCTAGCCTGAGACCTGCCTCAAGGCGAGGGAGATGGCGCCGCCCTCCCAGGGCGGCCATGTGGCACCAGGATGGCTGTCCTGACTGGAGAACTTGGGGCTGTCAGCATGCTCCCGAAGGAGTCCCCCCACCACAGTGGTCTGTGCAGCTAACTATTTGTGTGCCAGAAAAAAAGCACTGTTCACTGACGTGCGTTCCCTATGTCTGGCCATCTGTCTTTTGGAGGAAGTGCGTGAAATCATAGAATGAGCTGTAGACTGTGACTCAGAATGAAAGGCTAAAGATACCCTCTGATGTCTGTTCGTTCTTCCTTTTTGCAGCCTGAAGGGGGCGCTGCTGTTCATCACCATCGCACTCATCGGCACGGGCTGGGCTTTCATTAAGCACATCCTTTCTGATAAAGACAAGAAGGTCTTCATGGTGGTCATCCCGCTGCAGGTAAAGGGTCCCCAGCCCTGCTCGTCCACCTCCTCCCAAGCCTTTGCTGGGCTTAGCTCCAGGCCTGTCTGGGGAGAGGGAGTTGGGTCTCCCGGAAACCCCTCTCCTCTGCCTTTGGGGCTGAAGCCTGGGCTTGTGTTTCTGGATTCTGATGGGCCTAGATCTTGGGTTCTTGCACTGGGAGATGCTCCACCATCCACCATCTTTACATAGCACATGAACAGGGAGCTGCTGAGAAGTTAGGGACACGTACTGCCTCCTTTTCTGCATCTGACGGTCTTCTTGGCAGAGAAGCTTGGGTACACCGTGACTTGGTTAACGATTTCTTTTTGTTCTGGCCATGCTGCTCGGCTTGCAGAATCTTAGTTCCCCAACCAGGGATTGAACCTGGACCGTGGCAGTGAAAGCACTAAGTCCTAACCACTGGACCGCCAGGAGATCCCCAGCAAATTATTGTAAAATGTGAATGACACCAGTGAATTTCCACAAGGTAGAATATGAGACATTGGGGCAAACATTTATTAAGTGCTTCATGTGTCTGGGGCCTTGGACTGAGGCCAGCTTTATAAGACTGTGAGCCCTTAGCATTCAGCAGATGTGGATTTCCAAACAATATGGAGAAGGGGGGAAGCAGTGTGTAGGAAGGAAATGCCCTTGATAAGTTCCCAAACCTCTACCTTCTGTGTCACCTTATGTTTCGTAGCTTTAGTATGCTCAGGAAAAGAACAACCATCTTTTGTAGAATGTTTATACATTTTTGCATATTTCAATTCCACTTAAATTTTTTAAGGCTTTAACTGGTTCTATAAATTAAAATAAGTTTGTGCTTTCCTTGAAATACACTTATTCTTATTACAAGCATTTTATAATTTTGTATAAATGTCTATTTTCTCTAAATATTTTGCTTTCAGTAAAATGCTTTACAACTCTGTTTAGTATATTACCAGTGGATTGGTAGAATTGCTTTTTATTGACTAGTAAAACTTACTGCCTATGCTTTTTACATTAGGCTTTTAAAATTAAATAAAAATTACTAGCCATTCCAGAAATTAAAAAAAAAAAAAAAAGACTGTGAGCCCTTCAGGAGAGGAACTTTGTCTTAAGTGTAGCAGTCTTATTGGAGGTAGAGCCTGGATGTAAAGGATGCATGATACACAGATCCTAGCAGGGACACACAGCTTCTCAGCTCTGCTTGACCAGAGAGCATCTGTTTGATAAAGTCGTTCTTGTCCATGATCATTTGGAGCCCAGTGCAAGTGTGGCAGGTGAGGATTGGAACGGTGCCAATTCCCAGGCACCCAGGTCAGCCCGCTCACCTGGTGATTGATGGTTTGGCAATGTGTGTGGCAAAACCATCTTCACTTTCAATCACAAGATAACATATATTAGTGCCAGGTAAATGGTATAGACCAGTTGCTGTCGGTTTCCAACAAGAGAGTATTCACTTCAATTTGGATGATCTGGAAGAGCTGTCTGGTGGAGATGGGCATGGCCTAGATTTTAAGGACAGACACGTGATAGAGGCAAACGTGACGTTACTGTCGGGCGAGCAGGAGAGGCTGAGGCACTGGATGGGTACTGGCTGTTGAGCCACCACGGCCACTTCTCTGGCGGGTAGGGATCTCCATCCTGCCAAGGTCTCAAGAGCTGGGAGGCGGTGGCCGGGGTCCTCCTGCCCCGTCTCCCCCTCCCTCCAGGAGCGGCTGCCCTCCCCTTCACTCTTCTTCATGAAGCCTGGAGTGACGTAATGGAGGCTCTTCCCAGCTTTCCCTCTTCTGTTCCCCAGAAGGAACAAAAACACAAGGTTACATGGCAGGTCACTCTGAGGAAGCAAGGCCGTTTAGACAATCAAATATAAGGAAGTTATGAGTATTTAAATGTAAGGGCTAGTCTGGGAAGTCCTTGAACATCAGCCTTGACAAGTTGAAACTGTTTCCTTTTGGTCATGGGAGCCACTGCGCATTCCTGAGTAGGGAGTGAGCGTGTAAAAATGGCGTTTCAGGAACACCGTTGGCGCTTGGTTCCACACCAGCGCCTCTGGGAACATCTTGTGCTTTGTGTCCAGAGTGTGAACTGAGGGCAGAATGGAATGAAGCTGTCTATTTCCCGTTTCTTCATAGACAGAGCCACAGGTACAGACCTTTACCGTGGACTGGGTTTTTGGAGAAGTCCAGAGGCTGGGTGTCAGTGGGAGACTGAAATTTCAGGCTAAGTTTTGCATGTGTATTAAGTGTGGCCTCAGTGATGATTTAACTGACATGTCCTAGATGGAAAGAGAAACTGCGCTTCCTAAGTCACAGCACGACAGGTTTCCCAGTTTTGTGGAAGGAAGGAGAATTCCCTGTAGAGCAGTGAAGCACAGTGTTTGGGACCGCAGACTTTGCCTGGAGTAGAGGTGGGACTCCTGCTTTCTTACCTAGTGATAATCTTCAAAAGAGTAGTTCATCAGCTGTGTTTCTCTTGTGCTCAGAGGTGTCACAGGTTTTAAACTGTTGCCTTCTGTCTGACCAGCTGAGGGACTTTTCATAACATGCTAATTGCTTAACGACAGGATGGAGCACACACGGCCCAGCCTGTAGGCCTGGGTGTCCGCCGCCCCCCCGGGGCTCTGTCACACAGATCTGTCCATGGTCCTCGTGTCCCGCAGGTCCTGGCCAACGTGGCCTACATCATCATAGAGTCCACCGAGGAGGGGGCGACAGAGTACGGCCTGTGGAAGGACTCCCTGTTTCTCGTTGACCTGCTGTGCTGCGGCGCCATCCTCTTCCCGGTGGTATGGTGAGTGCCCCTGGGGAGGGAGGCCACGCCTGCGCCGCGGGCGTGTCCATCCAGCCTGGCAGCTGGACCCGCTGAACCCAGCCTGGCCAGAGTCGCCCGGGTCCCAGACTGACCTGAGTTAGTCTCCAGGCCGGACCATGGAGTTTGTGTCTCTGTTAGGTTCCCCAGGGGACTGCAGTAGTGCTCACCTGGCACCGACTTTTAGCACTTGAGATGCTGGAGAAGGGTTTGGAGACGAGAACTCAGTAGCAACATAAAACAGCCGTGTGAATTTGAAGGAAAGGGAGTTGAAGTTGAAGAAAGCCTGCAGATAGCCTCTTCTTGCCAAGTTAGAAAATGAGGAAGTACATCAACATAAAACTAGTGGTAGTTCTCAGCTTATAAACGTAGGTGTCATCAGATGGGTTCGCTTCGTTCCTGGAATTGGCAGACTTTAGATGCATATACTGTGCTTTGACTGTGTAAAGACATGTTAGTTAGTGCCAAGTCAGTGATTGATGAGGAAGAATATCCTCCTTAGAGCTCATCCAAGTGAAGGAAATTCTTGCTTCTGTAGGAAGAAAGAAAGAAAGTAACGAAAGAAAGGCTCACAGAAATCAGACACTTGCCCTCATTATGATCTAGTTCTGTGGCCACTTGAAAGCAATCAGTTCTTTTGGAATAAAGTTTTAAAAAATAGACTTAGCGGTCTCTTAGAAGTGAGGTGTTCCCATACTTCAGTGCCCCTCACAGTGAATTAGTATTTTTAGGCTCCTGGGGTTGATGGGGTCATTCGTTATTCTGTTTATTTAGAGCGTGGTGTCAGTGGAGTGTAATCCTTGTTTCAGTTAGATTCACTTTTTTACAATTTATTGGGGTGCGCTGGATGTTAGTTGCGGCATGCGGGCTCTTAGTTGCGGCACGTGGGATCTAGCTTCCTGACCAAGGATCAAGACTGGGCCTCTGCATTTGGAGCACAGAGTCTTAACTGCTGGACGACCGGGGAAGTCCCAAGCATGTTCAATTCACTCTTAACCTAACTCGTACATCACTCATGTTCACATATCAGTTCAGCAGACAGCTGCCTACAGAGGAGAGAGCACAAATGAGCCTTCTTAGTCTCCACAGCCGCCCTGTATTCTGTTCGGGAATAGCGACCCAGACATTTGAAACAGGATGACCAGCGTCTCCAGTTGGAAAGAGCGTCTTACTACTGGGGAACAGAGCCTCAGCCCCCACTCTGGTGTCTGTCACCCTCAGGACAGTAACATAGAAGGGACCTGTGGGGAGGTTCCCCGGTGGTCCAGTGGTTAGGACTCGGAGCTTCCACTGCAGGGGGCTCCGGTTGGAATCCTTGGTCCGGGAACTAGGATCCTGCAAGCCACAGAGTGTGGCCAGAAAAGAAGGGACCTGGGAAATTGAGGAAGGCCGAAATGCACTGTGGAGCTACAAGGGGTCACTTCCTGCCATTCGTTGATTGCCACACTGAGGAGCAGATCCCAAATGGCAAGATTCTTCATGCTAGATGTTCTGAAAATCGCTGTAAAATGAGAAAAACTCAAGTACTAGAGAGGTAATTTAAGACACGGTGTCAGAATTTCTTTTGGACATTCAGAGTCAGCCAGCACTGGTTTGGTGTCATCTTTGTGTTCCTTATTCCACGTGTTGTGCCATTCACTTCTCCCAGTGGGCAGACTACAGAGCTTTTGGGAGAAATGACTTACTCATAGTCCAGACGAGAGTGGTTGGCTGGGCTCGGTCTGCAGCCCAGGTCCATGAGACACTGGGTCTGCTCGAGCTGTGCCCTTCCAGGCAGTCCCTCCTTCCGTGCCTTTCAACTCTGACTGGAACGCTGGTCCAAAGCTTCCTTAAGCACGTTCCTGTTCCTCTGTCTGAACTGTACTAATGGTAATTAGTTGCCAGCACTTCCTAGCTGGAGAATACTCCTTGGAGGCCAGAATGTTTTCAGCAAAGTTAGAAATCCCCAGGCAATGAAATACCAAGTTTGCACAAATCCTTGTGCTCACAGCCCCTAGGTCTAGGCTTTAGAGGTCGGCCTGTGACCTTATAGGGTCCGTTCTCTCCAGGTGGCAGGTGAGCTCAATGAGCCTGCATTGTCTTAGTGTGTTTGGGGTGGGGGCACAGCTGTGGGACTGAGATTAGGTATTAGGTTGGTGAAAAGTAATTGCAGTTTTGGGCCATGAATTTTAAATCACTACTTGTGCTTAGTTGTTCAGTCGTGTCTGACTGTTTGCGGCCCAATGGACTGTAGCCCGCCAGACACCTCTGTCCATGGGGATTCTCCAGGCAAGAATGCTGGAGTGGGTTGCCATGCCCTCCTCCAGGGGATCTTCCCAACCCAGGGATCGAACCCAGGTCTCCTGCATTGCAGATGGATTCTTTACTGTTTGAGTCGCCAGGGAAGCCCTTAAATCACTATAAGTGTGCTCAAACACAGCTTTATTAATCAAAATAGGAACTGTTACCATCAACACGTTTTTGCCAACGAGAAGTAAGTTTGTTTATTCTTGTAGCTTAAAAATCCACACTTTGGGATTCAGTGAGCTCTTGGAAAGTATTTTCTGCCTCCTGCTGGTTGTGGAACCGTTTTCCCTCCAAGAAGTTGTCAAAGATGCTTAAAGGAATGGTAGTCATTTCCTTAGTCTAAAATAAATATAAAATAAACAGCAAGTAATAAAGCGAGGAATGTGCATTAAAATGATGTATAACATAACCACATTTATTTAAGAATGTATTCCAATATCAAACAGCAAAGTTCAACAATGCAAAACCATAGTTACTTTTGCAGCAACCTAACAGAAGATGCAGACACAACTGTTTTGATCTCTCCCCTCACACCAGGCCCTTGCCAGACTTCTTGCAGCCAGCAGAGGGCGTCTTTAACTCTCAGGCTTGAGAACCACACATGCCTGAGGCTTGGTTATCAACCATCACCATGTCTAGGGAGTGCTCTATAAAGTCATCTGTTCCAGCCTTTCAGTTTATGTAGAGAAATTCAAGGCCTCAAGTTACTAGCACTGAAAATGGAGAGGAATGCAGATTTGTTAGCTAACCTTTTGTTCTGCAAATGTTTATTTTTAGGTCAATCAGGCATTTACAAGAAGCGTCAGCCACAGATGGAAAAGGCAAGTTCCTTTGTGTTCTTTTTGTTCTTTTGTTCTTTTGGCCAGCCTTCCCTAAAGCCTTGTGCCGGGGCACTGTGGAGGGGGAGAGGGAAGGTGGGGGCTCAAGATGCTGGCTTCTGTGGGAGAGGGGTGGGTGGCCAGGGGCTTTGTAAGAGCAGCCCAGTTGTTGGGTGGCGAGGCAGGTGGGGAGCGTTGCCGAGACCCGCTGTGTAAGGCTTGGGGGTGACTCTGCTTACCAGATGATTCACTGCATTTCCATTCGTGAGTGTGATCCTCACCTTCTCAAAACTGAGTCAGGAGGAGCAAACGTTGTCTTGGAAGGACCAGATAACACCTCCCCGTGCGAACAGAAGGTCTTATGGATCCGGGATGGCTATGTGTAAAGCGTCCCTTCCTGCTGACTTAACACACTTTCAAAATAGATGTGTCGGTATTAATTTAAAAAGAGACTGATGCCAGAAAGAACCTCTAAAGCGCTCTGATTTTTAAGTTGTCGTGCAGTTAGAACCCTCCTGCATCTTCTTGGTTTTCTGACCCGGCCTCCTAAGTCAGAAAAGAAACCACAGAGAAAGTGCTCTGTGTGTCTCTGGGCTTATTTGAATCATGTCCAGGACTGTAGGGTGCCCTGGGCCAAGTGGGGATTTCAGGCCACAGGGGTCAAGGAGCCAGACTCGCAAAGGTCCCACCTGCCTCTGGATCCGTGAAGTCACACACCCAGTGCTGTACTAGTGTTCTTTAAGGCAGGTTATTCACTTGTTGTTAGATAAAATATTGTTGTCAGTCTGTTTTCTGATTGTAAAAGTAATATGGATTCACTTTGGAAAATTTGGTAAATAGTAGGTAGGAATCTTCCTCCACACCTGCTGTGCAATGAATATCACATTATTTTCTCTAATTTGAATTAACTTGACTTCAAGCCTTCCCACCAGTGTCAGGCACAATCTGGGGTTCTTACTGAGAGCACAGTACTCAGTCTGGGGCCCACAGTAGTTCCTGTCGAGAGATTCCTGCTATTGGTGTGTGAGGGTCATGCCAGGCTGGGAGCCCTGGTCAGTGCTCAGATTCCAGGCTCCCAAGGTCCCCTGGCTCCCCAGGGCCACAGGCCCACCCCTCACAGAATGTGTCAGCTCACTTTCTTTCTAGTCCCAGAAAGTAGCTCTCATGTTTTTACTCTCTTCCTTCAGAGGCCCTGGGTTCCCTTCTGCCTCTGGAGTGCCCTCTGGGATAGGTTCTTTCCAGTGAGCTAGAGCTGGACTGTGCTCTGCAGAAACCTTTTGCTTTTAGCTGGCTACCTGGCCTTCCTCTGAGTCGTGGATCTCGGAGAACCCTCCTGCCTTCTCGCAGTGGATAAAGAAAAGCTACAGAAAACAAACCTCAAATGAGAGTCTTAAAGCATCTTGTCGCAAACAGGAGAATCCAAAGTAGAAAATAAAACCCACCTTCTGGGAATGCTTGTTGTTTGAGCATAATTGTGACTTTCTTTTTTTAACATCCTTCTTCTATGCATGTTATATGTAAAGTTAGTTTTATTATTTCTTTTTTTTCGGGGGGAGGGGTAACATGTATACACTGCTGTATTTATTTACTTTATTTATTTTTTGGCCGGGTTTGATCTTTGTTGCTGCTTGCGGTCTTTGTCTAGTTACGCGGCGTGGGCTTCTCCTTGCGGGGGCTTCTCTTGTTCTGGAGCACGGGCTCTAGGCACTCGGGCTTCAGCAGTTACAGCAAGTGGGCTCAGTAGTTGTGCTTCATGGGCCCCGTTGCCCCGAGGCACGTGGAACTTCCACGGACCAGGGATTGACGGTGTCCCCGCATTGGCTGGTGGAGTCTTACCCACTCTGCCACCAGGGAAGTCCCGTTTTATTATTTGTGTAACTTAATAGGTCTTTCTCTTACTTTAATGTGTTGAGATGTGACATGTTAACTTTTTTTTTTTTTCACCCTTGTAGTTCTGGGTTCATTTTTTGGGCTGTTAGACTGAAAATGTCTAAAATTCCCAAGGGTAGCGTCCTCCAGCTGTTCAGTTTTATCTGTCCTCTTCTTCCCCTTGGTGAGTTCCTGGTCCTTCCTCAGCGCTGCCTTCTCCCATTCTCTCCGCCTTCTCCACCTTGCTCTTAGAGGACTTGAAGGGTGACTGTGGCAGTTAATTGTCTTGGTGACCATTTATTCCATGAGAAGTTGACCGTTGGCTGAGCATCCTGGTGAAGTGTTCTCCCTGGGGTAGATGGTGCAGCCAGGTGGGGTCACCCCTGTCCCCCCACATCCATAGTGAAGAGAAGCATTGTGGAGTAGGAATGCTTTTGTCATCGTCGAGGGCACACGAGGCAATTTCCTATTTCTTCCACCAGGTGACAGCATGGGGCCTCTTGAGTGGAGAGCCAGTCTGAGAGCTGGAAGTCGTGAGCACACACCAGGGCCCGCGTTCCCCGTCCTCGGGGGGACTCGCCAGGGCTTGCGTCCACCATTTTCAGGGGACAGACCATTAAGAAAGCACTCATTTCCCATTAGCAGATATGGCAAACCCTTTGAAAGGGGGACAGAGTAGATGAGAATAGGGGTGTCTTCGTGATCCAAGTTCTTTCAGTGAACTGACTTAGGCTGGGGGATGCTTTTGAGCTCATCTCCAGATGCATATTTCACTCTGTACTTTGAAAACTGTGACACTGGCAGAGTCAGGGCAGCCATGTCCCCACCACTGACGTCTCGGCTGTAGAGAACTCGGGGACAGCTGGCTGTGCTGGCAGGCCCTCCTCAGGCGTGACTGCTGAGTGGCCGTGCCCTGCTCTGCCGCCCAGGACAGCGGTGAGGCGGCACGGAGGCTCGAACGAGCACACTGCCCGGGGCCACTGGGTCTGGAATGCGCTGTTGCCCCTCTGCTCCTCGGCTTGCCCTTCCCGAGATCTCGCCCATCCTTGAGACAGCTGACAGAGTGAAGGCTGTGGACGATGAAACCTCCTGCTGGGTTTTGAAGCTTTTTGCTGGATGGAGCCTGACGCTGTGGTTCTTACTCGTAGGCTCATTATCCCACTGACTAATCACGTGACCTTGACAGTGACTTGGGCTTCAGAATGGCAACCTCAAGTGCCGTCCACGCTGGCTGATCGCGAGGCGGGGATGCGCTGTCTGTCGTCCTTCTCCCTGCTCTTGGGGTTCGTGGCGCTTTCAGAGAGTGTGGGTTTGGGTTGCTGTTGACCTCTGTCTCTGGATTCCTTCTGACTGAAGCTGAGAGAGTTTAAAGGGAAACAGGAAGGGCGAAACTGCCCCTGTCCCAAAGTCACACGTTTGTCTGCTCTCACTCGCGGTAGCTCCCCTCGGGTCCTCTGTCAATTAGAGTCCCTGCTGCGCTGCGTTCTGAGAGGCGGCCTCCTGGAGTCTTCACGGGCACCTCTGACTGCTGCCGCTGCCTGAGCCGGAACTCTCCGTTTCTGCCCTTGAGCCTGCCTTCCTGTTCCTTTGTCTTTCTCCAGTGTCAGTAGCTCAGAGGACGCCTTGGGGATACACGCCCTGCGTCTAATTAACAGTCTGCTCTGAGCATCTCCCTCCCCACACCCCACCCCCTTGAGTTCCTGAGGAAAATTTCAGAGGAAGCATTCTGGGGAATCTTAGCTTTAATGTGAGCTTCAAAAGCCCTGAAAAAAATGGTGGTTGGCTGGTTGCTGGGGGAGTGGAAAAGTGGCTTCATTCCAGCTGCCGCCATGTTCTGAAAGTAGCTGTGACCTCGAGAGGTCACAACGGTTCGTCAGGGCGACCGCCCTCAAGAGGGTCCTCGGGATCAGAACTTTCTTCGTAATGTGACGTGATCAGCCTTCTTTGCTGTTGATCTTTGCACTGGTGTCGCAGAAGCAGTGGTGCGTAGACCAGCTGGCGCCTCAGCACACTTCACGGCAGTGGCCCCAAACTTCTGGTGGCCGCTGCCTTCTCTTCATTTCCACCTACTCGCAGGGGTGGAGAAGTCTCGTTTCACGGAAGAGTGCCCTTGATGAATTAGGAGAAACTTTTAGCGTCGTTGCATCACAGCCCTTGGACATACATCTTTCACCACTCTACGTGGAGTGGGACGTGCCCAGGAAGCACTTCCGCTTCCCTCTGGAGTGTGGTGGTCATCTTGAGGAAGAGCACGTGTGGCAGTTGTGTGAGCTGTGAGCTCTGCTAGCTGCTTTTCCGCAGGACGTTTTTAGGGGCTGTGCTGGGCCTTTGCTCCTTTTGCATGGGCTTCAGTCCAGGTGCGATGTGAGCTCTTCTCCTGGCAGTGGCTTCTCTTGTTGTGGAGCATGGGCTCTAGGGCGTGCGGGTTTCAGTAGTCGTGGCTCACAGGCTTAGTTGCCCCAAAGCATGTAGCATCTTCCCCTACCCAGGGATCAAACCCATGTTGCCTGCCTTGGCAGACGGATTCTTAACCACTGGACCACCAGGGAAGGCCCAAGACACTTTTTTTACTGGCAGGAATGATGACGATCAAACTACAGTTACTCAGGCCTGGGCTTTTGACAGATATTTTCTTGAAAATGAATGAAGTGTGTATGTCCCTTCAGAAAACAAAAAGTATTTGTTGTCAGTGATCTCATTTTCACTTGAAAACATAGGTTTTAATTTAGGAAAACGTAGAATCTACCCCTGTAAACTTGACAGCTTCCCAATTCTTAACAGACATCTGGTATGAACAGAGGTGATATTAACAAATGTAAATATTTTATGATATTTTAAATATTTTATGAAAAGTTTCAGTATTTCAGAGATCTCTTTTAACTCAGTGAAAGAATATTTTTCCACCTGATGAATGCATGGTACACACACAGACGATATTTTCCACCTGATCAATACATGTTACATGTGCATGAATAAAAGATCTGTTCAAAGCTTGAGATGGACCAGCAGATTTTACTGTGACAGTGTGAAAGTTCATTGCTACAGTTTCAGATTCCCCATCTTAGTTATCTTTAAGAAGCTACCACTTGTCAAGCTTTAATGCAAAATCAAAGACGACTGTTTGCAGTTCTCTGAGAAGGCCTGCC